ATTTAACTAATACTAATTTTTCACAAAAAATTAAACAATTTGCATAGATTAAAAAAGAATCTATTGGTATACTTTAATGTATCACAATTTAATTCAACTGACTTTAGATTGTATTTTAAAATTTAAAAAGAAATCAAAACTAAAATATAAATTTTTTTAAAAGGCCAAGTACAGACAGAAAGTAAAAAAACTAAAAACACCCATTTCATTTCTATGTTGGCCCAACACAAGAATATAGTGTCGTGGCATTTACAAAAATGGTACAAAATATTTTATAAAAAATATGTATATTTATTACTGCGAGGGTTTAACATTTTATGATAATGTTTTGAGAATTAATATATCTAACTTTAGCAGGAAGTCTTTTTTTTAAAAAAACAATAATAAAAAAATGTACTCCAGTACTGGACTCCAACTTTTTTTTACATTAAAAAAAAAATAGATTTCTCCAGTGAGAATCGAACCTCGAACACAGTTTTAATAATCTCATATCTTAAATCACCTAACCATTCAATGCAACCGTCTTACCTTTAGTGGATCCCGCTTAAACTTGGGTAAAATCACTCTCCCGGTTAGAAATACTTTGGTGACAATTAATCTTATATCTACTCTCATGAAACTTAACACCCTAAACACTAGACAGTACCCTATATTTAATTTAATAATTTTTTTAATTGAATAATACAATCTATAGTTTGTTTAGTTAATTTGAAATAAATTAAAATGTACTAATATATATTTTTTTAATCTATGCTAAATGTTTTTATTTTTTATAAAAAATTAGTTTTAGTCAAAAAAATCTTATTCTTTCAATTAAAAAAGACGGATTAAAAGAATAATATCATTGTTGTCTAGCCATATTATTAAAAAAATTAATATCTTTATATAAATCAATCATGAATTACAAAATGTATATCTATAAATTTGTATTGTAGTGTTTAAAAATAAATTATTTATTTAAAAGATCATATAGTATATTTTTATGGTTATGAAAAATAGTAAAAAGAAATAAAAAAAGAAAAATTTAAATAAAAAACTGAAAAGAGACTATTTTATAATTTTTGTAAATTTTTGAGGTTCTTTTTATAAATTTTTAAAACTATTAAGGTGTTTTGTAAGTAAAATAAATAGAATTCCGACGGAAAATTGTAAATTGGACAAAATCGGCTAACGGTTGGATAGTTTAGGGTAATATTTGCTAACCAAAAAAGAATACGGTAGAATTGACGACACATGTAAAGTTTTGGGTAAATCCGCCAATTTTTCCGTATGACAATATAACTTAACATCGATTAAAAATAAATCACGACAATAGGATAGGTTCCATAATTACATTCATCAACACAAGCTCCGGAAAAGAATTATATATAATCATAAACCTATTAATATAAAAATTAATTAAGAAAAAAAAAGAAATCAATACGAACCCACAGAGGAAGAAGGAATAGAGGAGGCCCGCCCGAAAGTTTTGAAGCAAGCATTGACAATCTTTGCGAAGGTTCCAGGGCGGTAGCGGTGGGTCTGCAACTTCAACGCCTTACCCTCGTAGAGTACCATAATTGAAGGAACCTTCCCTGACTTGCCAAAAGTTTTCCCTTCCCTTCAAACCGGTAATAGCTCCTCAATGAAGACAACTTGATGATAATAATAAGATGATGTGACAAGTCGTCGTCACACTAGTCAAATAATAATTACCTACTTAATACGATTACTAGTAGTAAAGCAGAAAGCAGGGTCGATCCCACAGAGAAGGAATACTAATTACCAGGTATAAATTACTCCTATTATTATCTAGATAAATGAGGATCTCAGATTTATAAAATTTAAAACTAAAATAAATAAAATAAAATAAAAGAAAATAATATTAATTCAAATAATCAAACCAAGAAAACCTAGGACATTGAGTTCACCTACCGAATATTTGGTTTAGTTCAATTCACAAATATCTGACTTTTAACTTCCATTAATCTCACAACGATTCACCTAATTAAGAACTATTCACTCTCGTGTTATAATTCTCTTACTTAGATTAACCCTATGACTACTCTCGTAATATAGGGATTAACAAAAGTACATTAAGACCATTAAGAATCAAATATTGCAAAGGTTATAATCTTACTCTCGTAGCTTACAACCTAAGTCTATTATTCCTACGAACTATTACTAATCTTCCACTCTCGCTACTTCGATTAATATCTTCAGACATGCAAATAGTGGCCAATTACTTACATGAATTAAAACAAGAATAACAAATATTAATTAATAGAAAAATCAAATAATAATGAACCAAATAAACCAAATAAATTTGGTGGCTACACCCAAGCCCTAGATTAAAAGAATTTAGCCACTAAACATTATCAAAAATAATTCAATAATATTTAAAAACATCATCCTTAATTCTGAAATTTAATAAATAAAACAAAAGCAATAAAACCCGAAAACTCCATCGAAACCGAAAGCATAAATCAATTCAATTCAAGGCTTCAACTTGCTTCGGTTCTCCGCGTTCGAAAGCTTTTCTCCTCGGTTGCTGGACGTTCAAGGCAGATGGTGATGTCGAAGCTGCTGCGTGGTTATGCGTGATGATGATGAACAAAGAAAGCAGGTTGGTGAAGCTGCTTTTGGAAACGTGAGGATGGTGATAATGGCTTCGGTGGTGAGATAAGGGCTGGTGCGCGCGAGGATGGTGGCTGCGTGAAGGAGAAGATGTTGGGTTTGCGTGGAGAGTGGAGAAGAGGAAGAAGGTGGAGCAGCAGTGGTGGTTATGGAAGCAAAGTGGCGGTGATGGTGATGATGCTGCCGGTGAAGGAGGAGTGCTGCGTGGAGGAGAAGTGCTGCGTGGAGGAGAAAACTCGGTGGGAGAAAGTTGCAGCGGCGGAGGGAGTTTTTGACCGTAGGATTTCGGTGAGTTTTCGGTCAAGTTTGGTCCAGTCCTGTTGTAAAAATAAATCCCTAATCCTCTTTTTATAGGCTTCCGGCTAAACCCTACTTCTTGAAGAGCAAGAAAACTTGTTTCCCAAATAATATCGGGATTAAAATTCTTATCCAATTCCAATCCCAAATCATCCGCACCATCATCGTTTGTTTGGCCAATTTCCAAAAACTAAACATTCCAAAATTGCATCATTGACCCTCTAATTCTCTAAACTCATTAATTTCTTCCCCATCAATTGCTCCAATCTTCAATTCTTTCCCATTGAGTTGTTTTTAATTCGATTTTAGCTCAAAACTTTAACAATTCTTCATTTGAGTACAATTCCTACAATTAAAGATAAAATCACATAAATAGCATATTTGTACTCAAAATATATTGTAAAAATCACAAATTAAGGATTTAATAAATAGCTAAAATATAAGCATATCATGATGATAATAATAAGAAGATGATTATTAAAATTTAAAACAACCCATGAAGATGAACTACCCGCATGATTACCTCAAGATTGAAGAGATTGGATAGGAAAATCACCACCGCAACCTCAATCTTTGGCTTCAACCACCATCTTCGGTGGCTAGGGTCTGCAAAGGATGGTGGAAAACGATGAGGAGACCCTGGAGGGTGGCGCAGGATCTGGGTTCCAAGTTGGATTCGTTTAATCAGTATTGCGAGAAGGGAGAGATTTTCTCGAGGATTAAAGGATCCTGGAATCATGAAGCTTCAATTTCATTGTGAGTGGAACTCTATCGGATTAACTTAAAAACTCTGTCAGCTGACAGTCGGAGGACAATCGCGAAGGAAGAAGAGGATGCAGCTGGCGACGATAATTGGAGATTGGGTCTCAGAAGCGTAGAGGAGAGGAGGAAAGATTGGGTCGTAGAACAAACATGAAAGGACGAATCCGACTTGTGGCAAAATTGATTGGGTTTTTCATTTATATAGTTGATCCATACCAAGTCAAAACGGTACCGTTTTTAAAATGACATCGTTTTCATGTTCAAACTTCTAATTTTTTAGTTCAGAGTAGAATTATTAGTGGAAAACTGAAATTATGAATTCTGGTTTTTGACCCTAATAAGTCGCTGACGTCATATCGAGGGCGTCCGACGGATGAGATCGATTTGAAAGTGGCTCCTGAATATTTTTTTGGACATTATTTCTTGTCTATTGTGCCTTTTATTTAAGTATAAAAAAAAAACACATTAATTTGTATCGTTTTGTGAAACAAAAATCGATATTTTCACTAAAAAAAAAAATTAACTTTCAGTTTCGTGAACTCGAAACACGATTTAATTTCTGAACAGAGTTTTTTTTATACTGAAAAAATGAACTTTTTGGATAATCATGTATCCAATATTCCAATTAACTTTCATCCTTTTCTCTGGTTAAGATTATATGGTCTTTAATTAAAAGTTCATTCATTAAAAGGAATTAAATTCTATTAGTGAGGCAGTTTTTTTGCCACTTTCCCGTTGAAGTTTTATTTTTTCTCAAAAATTATATTTTTACCCTTAATTAATAAATAAATATTTTTAATAAGTGTGTGGTGCATTTAATTGTCTTTTCATTTGTTACTATCCAAATTCACTATAAATTTTCACTATCTGTATCATTGCTCTTTTAGGAGGGCTCCAAATTTTCCTATATAAATTTTTGAAAATGATATACATAGTGAATAAAAATAATGAAAACACATAGCGACTAATTTGGACTAATCATGACCCCTAGTTTTTTGTCACTTTTTCATTGATATTTTATTTTTTTATGCAAAATTATATTTTTACCCTTGATTAATAAATAGACATATTTAATAAGTGTGTGGTGTATTTGTTTTTTCATTTTTTACTATCTAATTTTACTATATGTATCATTGCTCATAAACTTTGGCCTTCTGCGTGGACTATTCTATACAGATTATGTCTATGATTAAAGTTCGATCATTACATGGAATTATATTCTATTAATGAGGCTGATATCAGAGTTAGTTTCCATATTTTAGGAGGGCTCCAAATTTTCCTATATAAACATCGGCCTTGTGCGTGGGATATTCACACGAAATTCATAATCTCAGAACAAATTATATACGCTGGGAGATATTAGGTTTACAACAAGGAGATATGGCTGTCAAGACTTGCTTGTCATCAACCTTTGTTTTTCTTGCTATCATTCTCCTAGGTAACTGCATATCCTCTTGCAAACCTCTACTTGTCTTTTTTCTCTTGGCATTTAAATTGTTCTTCAGGTGACGATTAAAACCTTTCTCGGGAAGTTCATCTTGGTCTACTGTAAATCCCACTAAATTAATTCAATTATATATTACAGTTTCCACTGATTAAAGTTATTTTTCCCTTGGCTTTGTAATATGTGCTTGTGAATAGTAGTTTTTTGAATCTTTCATACATAAATGTTACTGTTATTTTTATCACCCAGTTTTTATGAAATTCCCTTCTCACTCAATTACTTAAATCGAGAAGATTTCTTAAATTTCATGTTTTCGAAAAGGTAATTTTTTTTTTCTTTTACTATTGTGTTACATCCTAAAAATAAATAAGAATTTATTTTTATGAGACAAGAGAACATAACAATGAATACAACCTTGATTTTGTGCAGGTAGGGCAGTGGTTATCGATGGAGCAGTCTGCAGAGAGGATTTGGACACAGGCCTGTGTATCTATGGCCCCCCAAATGAAGAATGCATTAGATATTGCAAAGAACATTTCGATGGCTTCAATGCATTCTGCCAATTGATAGATTCGAAAACGGTTCCAGAAGTTCGAACCTGTATTTGTGAATTCAATTGTTAAAAACTCTAGAAAAAGGAGAGGGATGGAGATCGAGGAAATAAATATGGGATTATGCCCATTATTGATTAATAACCATTTACTATTTGGTTGTTATAAATTTATAGTAATCTTTGGACTAGATTCATTTCATTCTATTTGGCCAAAAACACAACTAGCCAGCAAGCTATAGAAATGAAAAAATGCGTTATTTCCACCACAAGCACCATCATTCCCAGCAAAATCAAACGCCAAATGCAAGGGTTCCGCGAGCCCTTACCCTGACGAATTTGATGGATTGTAACCTTTAAGACTTGAAGTATCTCCAATTTCATGTTACCGGCGAGCTCCAACCGATACGCAAAGGCAACTGTAAATCTTTTTTCTATCTACAAATTGAGGACATTAAGGAAACTTCAAGGATGCTGCTCGTTCCTGCGTCATCATAAAACCAGCAATACAGGCTGCAAATCACGTGCTCCAGTGATCTTGAGTTCGAATCTCAGCAGGAGACTTTTCATCGTCCATGCGTGCAAATAGAGTGTGCTGATTCTTGTATTTCTTCATGATCGATAATCAATAATATCTTGTATGAAAATTTGGTCATCGGACATCAAACTACACTAATTATATACATTTGTCCTAGACTCACGCACTATTTTTCTCTCCGTGAAAGGCACATAATTTGTTATGGTATACTCTTTTAGTTCAATAAAATCATTTTTCTGAACCCGAAATTACTAAATCAAAGTTGATGATGACGATAATGAGGATAAAAATGTTATTTATGATTAAGAACATATGTACATGCGATATTGCAGAATATATCGCATCTATTACATAAAATGATAGGAACGATTTTTTCATGATTTTGGGAGGGTGGTATTTGGAACAGAACACAAAATACTATCACAATTAATCTGCAAATATGACATGCTTATGGTTAGGTGATTAGATTATTTTAGGCAATTGATAAATTAAGAGCATTTTATGCCAATAGTTTTATCTTCCTGCACACACCAAATTAATGGAATTAAAATTAAGAGCTTGTCACCCAAAATTTTAAAAATTCATTTTAAAAAAAAAAATTCGTGTTCTTCATCATTATAGAATTAGCCTTTCTTTAACAAGCTGCTCCATCCCCTTCCAAACTCATTCCATATCGAGTGCTTTCACAAAAAATAAAATAAAATAAAATAAAATAAATAAAAATTCCATATCGAGTTCTATCACATCCCAGGGGCCTTCTCTTTTAACCGAAATGACAAACATATTTTTTGATAATAATTCACCAAAAATTCTTCACCGTTATTGACATCAAAATTATACTAAATGGTAATACTTTATGCAGCTTTAATATTTGATCAAATCAAGTTTGCATTATAGTTGGGAAAAGAAAAGGTGAAGACGAGAAGATTTTGGGTAAGTCTAGTGTGCCATTTTGTAAGATTTGTTTTTAATTATGCAAAACTAAATATAAGGGACTTGAAATTGAATATGAGGTAGGCCAGTGTTAAATTAGCTAGTGAGAGAAATTTTACTTCTAATAATCTTAAAGAGTGAGAAAAATATGGTAAGTAATTTAAAATTATGCACAAAGGTTAAAATAGGTAATTGGAAAAACTTTGCTCTCAATATAAAAAAGTTGGAGTCCGTATCCAGTGCATCCGGGTATACCGTATACCCCCACCAAACACACGCGTTACACGCGCTCAACATTTTTCACCTTTACATTAAATGCTGGTTATCCACCCATTTCATACTGGTTATCCTATGATGTTATCCTGCTTATCCAATATTTCTTTGCTGATTATCCAATGCTTTGTATTGATTATCTAGGATTTTTGTACTGGTTATCCAGCCAATGTGCAGCAATATCCAACCGTTTGTAATGGTTATCCAGGATCTTTGTACTAGTTATCCAATTTGTTACACCTGATTATCCAAATATTTTATAGTGATTATCCAGTTAAAAAAATGCAAGTACAGTCTTTAACCTGATTATCCATGAGTTTATACTTGTTATCCAAAACCTCAATACTGTTTATCCATATGTAACCAATAGCTATCCACCATGTGGACATAACAAAACAAGGATTCAGAGAGGGCTTCCAAAAAGACATAACAAAAGAAAATATCCATAAGAAAATGGCTATCCAAACGGCATGTTCATTGGGGGGCTTCGCCCCTATGATAAACTAAACGACTCCCGCGGCTACCGGAATCGCAGGTCACCAACCTGCCCCGGCTGCGCCGCCCCGCCGAACACGCCAATGTAGCTAAGGTAATCCTTTTTTCGTGTGTGTGTAAGGAGAGTGTGTGTAAGGAGAGTGTGTTATTGCTTTAAGAGGGGACACAAATTACTTGTATAAATCCCCCCGTGATAAACTAAACGACCCGGCTACGCCGCCTTTCACGGCTGTGCCCCCCCCATGCCGAACATGGCGAATTTCATAAATAGTATTTAATTGAATGAGGGGAAGTTTGCCAAATGATGGAGAACAAAAAATGAATGAAGGGCAGCTGGATAACAAGTGTAAAAAATACGGACAAGGATATCCAAGAAAAATATAAAAGAAAAAAAATGAAATTTGGCAACTGGTTATCCAGCTGTGTATAACTGGTTTTCCATAATATGCACACTGGCTATCCACTATGTCCATACTGGTTATCCAACAGGTTAATAATAGTTATCCAGTTGTGTGTAACTGGTTATCCATAGTGCCAACACTGGTTATCCACATGGTGACCACTGGTTGTCCATAGTGTGTAGCTGGTTATCCATAGTGTGCACACTGGTTATCCAATATCCATTTTGAATGAATTCGTTAATTATTTAGCGAACTCACGCTATTCTAAGAGAGTAAAGTACACGCGCAGGGAGGTACACGGTACCTCCGGGTGTACCAGATGATTTGCCAAAAGTTGCTCTCAATATATCAACACCCTTTAATTAAGATCATCAAGCAACAAGATTCTTCAATTGATGTGGCTGATTTTTATCTCTGTTTTTTTTTTTTTTTAGGTTTGCTATATAAACTGTGTTTTGTCAGTCTTCTTTCGTGAATTTCAGAATACATCATCTCGGAACATTTTTTAATATACTCTCAGATATTAGAGAAATGGCTACTCATCAGTGTTTCTTTGTCTTACCATCATTCTCCTAGGTAACTGCATAATAGTGTTTCATCTTCTTAAATTTGTGTTACTAGTATTTCATACCTTATCATTCTTTTCTAATAAAATTCAAAAGTTAATTATTATATTTTAATAATTCACTTTGTTGAACTATTTCAATTCGATCAAATAGACTATGAGAATGAGGGGGAGTAAAAGTTGGCAATTAAAAGTAGTATTCAATCTTGCTTTCTCTCCAATATATTTTTCTCTGAAATGAATTGAATAATGACAATTGTTACAAAATTATTCTTTTTTTTTTTTTTTTGGTGCAGCTGGAGCAGTAGTTATCCATGGAGCGGTATGCAAAAAAGAATTGGATAGAAGATTGTGTAGCTATGCTGAGAATCCTGACTGCCCCAGAATTTGCAAACAAATCTATGGTGGCTTTAATGGATACTGCCAATTTGTAGGAAAACTACACCCGCTGCATTGTATTTGCGAAATTAATTATTAAAAGTTTTCTTGTCAAACGAAAAAAAAGACTATTGTGGAGGTAAAATTAGTACTAGAAGTATGTGATGTTAAAATCCACTTATATTAATATTAGTTAATACTCCCTCCGTTCCATAATTATTGTCCAGTTTGGATTTTCATTTTTAGTTCAAATTGTACTAAAAGTGAAATCTCAAATTGGACAATAATTTTAGGACGGAGGAAGTATATATTTGTGGTGAAAGAAGATGTAACTCACGAGAAAATAAAACAAAATTTTTGTATTGTGCATTTTTTTAGGTTCTTCAGTTTCTTAGTATTAGTTTTGCACTCCCTTCGTCTAAAAAAATTTCATATTAAGTTTTCAAAATTCCAAGTTTTTAAAAGGTTTAATAGACTTTTTTTTTTTTAATGGAGAGACTATATGAATTTGGAACATCGGATTGTATAAAACTAACTTCTCAATTTTGACATAACATCGTGAGAATTTATCCTCACTATGAAAACGTTGATGGTATTTTCACCATGTTTATCGAAATCAGAAACAGAAGGAATTGGACGATGCACGCAGTAAATTATACTCAATTGATTCCTCCGTTTAGCCCTATTTCGTTCACACACAGTATAGTTTTTTTTATATATAAAAAAGTAGCAATTTAAAGATAGTATCATTTTTTTGAAATAAAAATAAATTTATTAATTTACTAGAAATCGTCTAGCAGCGATTGATAAAAAGCAAGATACAGCCATAAAAACACAAATTATAAAAAGTCATAATGCAATTATTGTGTTTCACTACATGGATAAATCTATATTGATCTATCCCATAAAATTATAGTTGTACCACGTGCCAAACTTTTAATCCGGCTAAGGATACAACACTAACCTTCGGTTGAAACCCCCAAATCGTAAACCTAATAATAATTAGATCTACTATAACTGAATCTTCTTGGACCATGCCTGCCAAACCGACGAACACCTTCAATGAAGCCGTCGCCACCGTATCTGCATACATCACCGACGAAACCGCCGCCATACTAGCAAATATCAACAAGGATGGCGCCGCCATACCTGCAAACATTGATAATTTTGCCACCATATTGTAAATTATAATCTACAAGCCGTTTATTAAAACTAAATTAAAACACAATAAGAACGCTAAAGAATATGAGTAGAATTATTTTCCCATCCTTCCATGGTAGAAAGATGGGGGAAGATTAATTTTGGTTTTAGGGTTTGAGGGAGAGGGAGGTGACCTTGAAGAATCTTGTATAATACTCGTTCATACACTATAAGATAGTACCATTTTTAGTTGTATCTAATTTGAGGATTTGGTTAAAATTATGAAACTACAAACAAGCTTCCGATCGTGGATACCTTTGTCCTAAACTCACGTATATATTGCTCGTTGATTCTTTTGCTTGCATAAATTAATCTCTGTATATAGTAAAACTTCTTATAAATTAATAGTGTTGGAACCTACAAAATTTATTAAGTTAAATAATTATTAAATCTCTATCCGTTTAATAA